CTGAATTTCCTTCTCTTAAAGAAATCAAACAAAGGTTAAAGTATAAATACAATCTCTTGTTCCCATCCTTACTCCTCTTTGGTGGATCTTTCCCTTATTCAAGTACCTTTTCAATTATGTTTGTTAGATTTACAAGCTGATGGAAAGCTTTTACCAGTTTAGGTCCTTTCAACTGACATGTTTTCTATTTATACTGCACAAAGTATTTTAAAACCCTGTAAAAAGCAATCCTGCTGTAGCACAATATCAAATCAGATGACCTAGCAGATTTTTGTACCAACTTTTTTGAGCCTGGGGCAAAAAAAAAAAAAAAAAAAAATAGAGCTTGAATTATGTCTCTGATCACTCCATATCATACCCTGAAATGTTATAAGAACAGTGGTAATACAGCCACTGCCTTTTTTAGATATAATGTAGAATGCATGAAAAATCCCAGAACGACACCTACTATTCTCAACTATTTTATTGTATGTTTTCATCTTTGAGTTTATAACAGAAATAATGTGAACACGGCAAAATGGTATGTTTGCAGTGAAGTAAAATAGATTAGAATGCAAAATACTAGGAAAAATGCAGGAATTTTTTAGAAACATAAAGAACAGATTTATTAACCAAGTACTAATTTTTTTTAAAAAAGTGAAATCTTTGGCTGAATACAAGGTCTAAACCCCAAAGTTAATCCTCTTTTTTTTTTTTTTATAATTTGCTAAAGCACTCCTATTATATCAAATATGGATCTATATCATACTTTCACTATATTCAAGGAAGAAATAATTCTTCCAAAGCATTCATGAATTCCCCAAGTTTTCATCCCACTGAGATATTGGATAATCAGTCCTGAGCTACTGTAAACTCTTCTGTCATGATTTGCTATAAACAAAGGTGCACCTCTAAAATTGTATTATTTCTTACTAAAGTTTATGATTCCTGACATCAGTTTCATCTGGACATTTTTGCTAAGACTTTGGTAGTAGTTCAGCTACTCATTCACACAGATTATCATGTTCTGCATGCAAGAATTCAGATCCATGACACTGACAATTCAAATCCCAAGACGGAATATTTGCTTCTAACTTCTATCACCTCTTTTAAGAATAAGTATTGCTGCCTACTGTGTATGCTGAGCTTTCCTATTTATACATTCTGCACCCCCTCAATAAAATTAGAAGGGGCGCTATTCTAACATACTGTCTGCCAGAAGCATCTCCGTTGTATTCTCTGCTATCATGTGCATATACTTTGCATTAATTGATAGCATGTAAAAGCATATTGAGGTTCTGTCCAGATATAAAATATGAAATAAAGCTTCACTGCAATTAAGTCAGAGAGAATCTTCCATTTTTGTCATTGGACAAACCAAATATCCTATACTGACAGGATCAAAAAGATATCCAAGAAATGTAACTTACTGGATGGCCTTAAACTGCACCACAGAAGCTGCATCTTATATTCTCTATCTAAAACTGCTCATGCAAGGGGATTTTGTATGGTTATTTACTGCAATCAATCCCATATAAATCTTTAGGATCTTTGTTAAAAAAAAATCCAAACCCTGGTATCTGCTTGCTCTATTTCTGGGCATTGTTTTAGATTTCATATTCTCCAAGAAATGGACTTTACCTTCATCATAAGACCAGACTCTCAGATAAGCACAACAGCTCCTTACCTCCCCCTGGTTTTCTTTTAAAGGGGAAGTTGAGAAGAAGGCTGCCAACAAATTGTTAACCTTTCTGGACTGTCTTAGTCAAACTGGCTAAATTAAATGCCTCTGGTTTCATGTCCTCTTGCTTGGAAGAGTGAGATCAAAGACAGATGGCTCACCCTTCTTAGATGAGTTGGTCCCAGTGCTCAAGTAAGCCCCTTAATCTGTGCCTGGGGGCAACAGGAGATGTGCAATGCAGAAGATTATGCAGCCCTACCTATAACACTGATATTAAGTCTTTATTAAGAGTCACAAGAGTACTGTGATATAGGCCTCCAAAGCAAAAAGGAAAGGTGGTGAGATGATGTAGTCATACTGTCCTGAGATGGTGAACTGAAATTTTCCAGGTCTTGCAAGTGTTTTACTACATGCCTGAGTTTTACTTTGGCTTTTTGATTTAGCTAAACAAAATGAGACAACAGCCAAATATTTATCAAATATATAATAAATCCAGAAGCAATATCATACATATGGGGGATGTGTGCCACCCCAATGCAAAAGATGCCACAAATGGTACTACTATTCCTTTTGCACTCCTTTTTATGCATACATGACAGGACAGCATTAATCCCCAAATGGACATGTTTATTACCTGAATAAAGGCTGCTTGAGATATTCATGGTTTGAAGGTAGTTATGACAGCGTTCTTTATGTTCTTCCAAAGAGCTGCGCTGCTTGTAGCTGCGACCACAGTATCCACACTTATGGGGTTTGCCAACTGGAGGAAACACAATTAATTGAGAGATTCAGATGAGGTATTCAACAGCACATTAATAATGGGAAGAACCACAGGAAAAAAAGCCCACCCCCAAAATAAAACCGTGCTGTTGTGAACTGAAGAAAGATTTTATAAATTTAAAAAAAACCTAAGACTAATGGAAAACTAGTTGTATATCTTTACATCAACAGGCCAATTCTCTGGGTGCTGCAAACTGATTTCAGGTGATTCACATCAGATAAGGACTGTGACATTAAATCTTCAAAAATGGCATCTACACAAGTTAGAAACAGATACCTTCAAAGTTCTGAGTGTAGCTGATTTAGTGCCTAGCTTCCACTGAGACTGCCAGCAGGGGAACTGGTGGTGTAGGTAGAGACACCTGCCCACGGCTGGATGTCAGTCCTGATGTAACCAGAACGAGCTCAACCCTTTAGGACAATGATAAATTTCACATGTTTTCTGTTTCCAGAAACTCAAGAGAAATGGCATGACAAAACTTTTTCTGCATTATACTAATCCAGATATAGGTAGTTCCAGGAATCTTGTAGTAACAATATGGATTCACGGACTTCTAGACTTAAATTTTTGGTCTTAGCATGACACGACAATTTTAGATGGCTACTCAGCTTAAATTTTGAATTTTGTTTACAAATTCCGAGGTGAAAATTAGACTCAGACATCCAACTTGTTTTATAATGTATTGATGTCAATTTGCCAATTGCAGGAACTAATAACAATCTATAGTTTATGCCTTGTCTCTTTAGCTACAGAATCCTCAGAGTTTGCCAAAAGTGTTACCAGTGTCGGTTCCAGCAATGTGTTTTGGAGGTCTTCTATCCAAATAACAATTTGCATTTCCAGGTTAGCTTGGGAAACTAGGTAAGACAACACTCTGCTTTTAAAGGCACTTTAAAGGCGCTAAATTGGTTTACTTCACAGAAGGTTAGGGCTTCTGTCAAACGAGAGGTTTGTGCTAATGGAAAAGCGCAGCTATTCAAAAATATTTATTCAGATCTCCATATTACTGTTGAGACAAACACTGAAAAACTCTAGCAGAGTCCACTTTTTGGGAAGATTATTATCTTTCTCCCTCCCACCCTCTCTCTTCTCCCCACCCTTTCTCTTTCAAAGTACTTGTAATAAGAAGGTGCAATGAATAACTGCTGCTAAATGCTGTAGGTGGCATTCACTCCTTAGGTCGAGACTGACTACCAGACCGTGGGTTTTTGAGATTTCGTGACTTAAAACCTACTGTGTGTAGACCTTATATTATCTCTATATGCAGATATATGCCATCCAAACCCTAAAACATTCATCAGCTTTAATTCACATTCATAGTTCCATGAAATGGGTTACTCACAAGAGGCTTGTAAGATGAAATCCTAATAGAGAAACTTCTAATCAGCCAAGAAGTATGGGAAAAAAAACCAGTTCTTCTGGTGAAGGATCATGAGCATGAGATGTGTTTAGTCACTTCTTTGCTGCTAAAATGCTGCGGCCAGCTCACAGCTTGGTTAACAACTCCAACATGGGGCTACTCGCCTCCCCAGGGTGAGAAGACGTCCCAGGCTTGGTGGCCACAAATGCCCCTGTCTCCTCAATGGGTACGGTGACGAGTGCCCCGGACGGTCCTGCACCTGCACTTACCTGAGTGAGTCCTCAGGTGTCCCGTGAGGGCATCCCTGCGACGGCAGGCGTAGTTACACAGGTGACACTTGAAGGGCTTTTCACCTGAATGCAACTTTATGTGGCGCAGAAGGTTGCCCTTCTGTGTAAAGGAGGCTCCACACTGATTGCACTGGAAAGGGCGTTCTCCTACAGGGAGAAGGGGAAAATACGTGAGAACAAAAAATCTTACGCCGTAACAAGAGAAAGATTTCAGTAAGAAAGTTGTTTTCTCACTGCTGCTCTGTGACTTCCACCGGCTGCAGGTTTGATATAACATGAGGCTTTCAGACTAAACCTGCCAGTTTCTTAATGCTTCAGTGGCTGGGTCAATTTGATCTGAAAATCTAATTTTTTTTTCCTAAATCAGAATGGCACATCACAATGCAAATTCAAACTCATTTAAATAAAGTGACTGCAACATTTTGTGTTGAAGAGCCACTCTTCCTGATCAGCAGTTTTGGAATAAACCAATATCCAATTTTGCATGTTGTGGCATTTGGTGGGGTTTTTAATGTGGCTTTTTTCAAAGGGTCTTTAAAATATGCCACTGAAGCAGCAAAATAAAAAGGAAACTCATTAAAAATGCATTTCAGGATCACAAGTTCATTTCAGCGTTACATTCTTATATTTAAATGAAAGGCACTTCATTATAACAGTTATAATAACTTCTTTTCATTTACATTTTCCCTGTATTTTCCCTTTCAATTTCTTCTCCATTACCTGTCTGTCCCTAAGCAGCCAAATCAGGAAAGAGACAGAGAAAGAAAAGAGACAGAGTAAAATCACATAAGTTAAGACAGTGCAAAGGAAGCCCTGTACTTCCATGCCAAAGTCCCAGCCCTTCTCTAGGTAAGGTATGAACACAGGAGCTGCACAAATGGGCTCTGCTGGTCTACACTTTGGACAGACCCAGGGAAAAACTTGAAGAGACTCAGCCTTGATTTGTCTAAACTGGTGCCTGTTATCAAGGAAGTGAACCAACTTGCCTTTGCAAAAAAGAATATGGCTGTTGTTTTGCTTTTTAGTGCTGTGTAAAATCAATATGCTCATTTATTCACTCAGCTATTTTTTTTTATTTAAGATAGTTGAGGCCTTTTCTTAAGTCAGTGGGAAATAAAACATGTTTCCAGTTGTACCAAATAGGAGTAAAGAAAAATTTATACATGAGAGCACTCTGTCAAAAAAAATGCCCATTTCTCTTTAGCCCTTGACTAAGTCAAACCAGCCTTTGAAGTTCATTTGTTGAATTCTGTTTCTCTTAGGCACAAATGTAATCTGCTATAGTAATTATAATGTATCAACAATATTAGAAACAGCCCAGAGATTACCTGTTCTTAGTTTTTATTTTCTTTATGTAGCAATAATATCGAATTTAAAACTTCAGTGCTGAAGTTAAAATATAAAAAAAATAAACACAAGTTAAACAGTTTCCTTCTTCTCTCTCTCTTAACCATCAAGTATTATTTTGCACATCTAGGATCAACTCGTATGTCCATATGTGTGCATATATGTGCAGCATGATTATTTTTGACTTTTGGGTAATGCAGTAGCACAGCTGAAAATCAATTGGACAGCAGCACAGTCCCAACCCCAAAATCTGCAAACTCTACCATCAGAGCTGGCAGCCTTAGCATTCAGCAAACAGTAAAATGAATCTACTTTATGACACAATATTTTCATCCGTCAAACAGCTTCAAGCAGTTCAGCATAGTCCCTGTCAAGCCAAATGAGCTCACTTTCTTTGTCCCTCAAGCAGCCGTATCCATCTAAACTATACCTGCAACTGGTTCAACTGGGGTGACCCACAAAAAGGCCAACATTAGCCTTACGGGATTTTGCAATGTACTTCATAAGCCATGCACAGTAGTTGTTAGGGGAAAAAGAAAATGGGTGAGAGCCTGGAGAGTCTGTCTGCTTTACCTCTTAATCTTTGGGGCAGTTACTCAGCATGTACGGTATTTTTCAGAAATAGACTGAAGCAGTAATGAAGAAGTCAGTTTGTCATGGGGGACACAAATTCAGAAGAAATGGTTAGTTCTTACTTAGCGGCTTTTAATTTCTGTTATTTTTACTCAGAAGAGCATAAGAGGAGAAAATGAGATCATAAAAGTACTCCAGGAATGAAATGTAAAGCAAAGTAAGAATGAAATGCATCTCCAGCCTACAGCTCTTGCAATTACAGGGTGAAATCTTGCACTGGGTAGAGAAGACAGACGGATGGAGCATTTCAAATGAGACTGCTGCATACCAAATATTTCTACCAAACTTACGGTGGGATCAAATATTAGGGAACCTGCGCCCACATTGCTGTACAAGGGAAATGACGCCACCATCAAAAGACCCTGAAACTATGTGTAGCTTGACTGGCCCTTGGTCTTCCATGCTGCAGCTACCAGGGTGGGGAATGTCTCCCACGTGAGCCCAGCAAAGCTCCCAGCCCTGCTAGGATGGAGGCGGTCACTTATGGAAGGTGTGGCACTAACCCATCAAAATGGAGAAGGGATAGGACACAAAGGAAAGATACATAATGCATCTTGTGTTTAAACAGTCAGCTTTGTGTGTTATTTTCTCACCAGTCCTGAACAGCACGTGTCTATCCTGCGTAGATTTCATTGCACAGTGTGTAGCTGTGGACGAATATGGGCCCAGGAGCCAAAACTGCAGTGGGACCCTGCACTGAAACAACCACCATTGCAGTGATTTGCAAGCCTTAGTGCGAGAACAGGCCCTGGACTACTTATTCAATTAAGAATATTTATTATCTTAATTTAAATCTTTCTAATTTCTTAAACAATATCACAAAATCACCTAATACTCAGAGATGTGCATAGCTCTCTTTCTTCTTTTTTTTTTTTTTTTTTTAATGATCATTCTTCAATGGGTATTAGTTTTCTAAATAAATTTGAAACATTCAAACCCAACTAACAAGACATAAGGAAATGAAGACATAAGGAACCTAATTGCTGACTTAAGTTAAAGGAGTATACATATAAGGAGGGTGTATATATACATATGCATACATATGTGCACACTGAGCAAGCAAAGCCTGAAATCTATACCCTGGGGTCTCGGCACCAGGGAGCAGGAGAGGGTTTCTCTCTCCTTTCTAGATCTCCTTTTTCCTAAACACCAAGCAAGACAGCAGCAAGCTAGAGAAAATCAATGTACTGAAAGCCTTGGGGAAGGAGAGTGAGGAGAGTCGGGCATCTGTGAGTGGGATTCGCTCTACAGACAGAAGCAACAGGTAAGGTGCTAGGAAGCAGTGAGTGTTGTACAGCTTCTTGCAGACAGGATGGGGCAGAAATAGGTGCTGCTCTGCCTATCTGCACTTGGCACGTGTATTCATTAAAAGTAATTATGCCTTTTATCAGGTTAGGCAGTCATTTTATTTTGGCACTTTAGTGTGCTAGAGTTTTGTTCACTTATCAAATATTTATTTAAGGAAACCTCACTGCATATGCAGGTTTTACATGAATTAGCAGCAAAGTAATTCATTTGCGAGGCTTATTCCTTCACCAGGCATGTATTGAAATGGGCTTCAGTGTAGTCAGTTAAATGTCTATAATAGTATATCCCATTTCCACTTTAATTTTCACAGTGCAGCTGAAAGGAAAAGCAGCCAGCACTGTTTCCCTATGACGTCCCTTTAATTTAAACTACCAGCTCTGAGCCTCCACTTCTTTGCCAGCCCTTGAAAAATTGCCTGAGCTCGCCCAAAGAGCTGAGGGTGAGGCAGGAGGGAAAGGAAAGGCTTTCTTTCCATGGAAGGACTCAGGGGTGCAACTTCATACCCTTTAGTTTTAGTAAGTGTAAAAAGAAGGGGGTCCTGCTCAAAGAAGTGCAGTTTTAACTAGGTTCTCTGGTTAAAAAGAGGGTCCTGTTGGCAAGGGGAAGGCTCTGCAAAGGCCAGAGAAGCCGCAGCCCCAGGAACACTGCTGCAGGGAGCAGGCAGCCCAGCGCATCCTCCAGGGACGCAGCCTGCTGGGGACCAACCACTGTGCCAGAAACAAAGGCAGCTCTGCCCACAGCCTCCCTAAAATCGGGTGAGTCCCTGCACAGGCCATTCAGCCCTGGTGCAAACGCTGCCTCTGACCCTCAGGGACCCGAAACAACTCCTCTGAAGCAGCAACAGTGTACTTTTAACAGAGCAGCAGCCTCCTTGAACAAGCACAAAGACTTCTACCTTTAAATGCATTTTAAGTTGCAACATTTTATTTCAACTACTACAGCATCCTCTTCAAGCCCAGGGGTCTGTTTGCAAAGCCTCATGCCAGTCATTTTCCATATACATTTTATCAACTTTTAAAGGATCACATTAACATTAAATTAAAAAAAAAGGAAACAACCAACAAGCACTTTAGGAAGTATGCTGCAGCCTCTCTCTGAGAACTAGTTGTGGCTTTTCCAATAATGATAATTATCGGCTCGTCCCTGACAGAGGGATTTATCATATTGAATTGAAGAGTATTTTGAAGTAGGCAATGTAACATCATTGCTAACTATCACCAGCACTGCTTCTGAAGATGGCTAACCCACCTTACACTAACAGATCACTCCCTTCCAGAGCTTGAACAGCTGCAGTTACAATGACAGACATTAGCACTGCAGGGGACAGATGACACTTGGGGTCTTTTCGTGGATCCTCTCCATTAAACTCTGAAAACACTTTGCTAATCTGACTCCATAGTAATTTTGGGGATATGGAGGAAGAAATTATCTATGTGTTTACTAGCACAACTATTTCAGTGGAATCTAACCATCTGACAGGTTATTCTTACCTTAAAAATATTTTAAACTTCCCTCTTATTTGAATATTCGTGCAAAAATGGCAAATACTTTATTTATCTGTTTTTAAAGTAACTTGTGTAGCACAACAGTACAGTTCCATTCTTCTCTGACTGTGGATGACCTCGGAGTTTAGATTGGAAGCCTAATTTTTAGACAGCTTATATCAGGTAAGATGACACTCACCCTTGGCTTTACTTCTTCATTTGTTTCAGCCTCTTCATTTTTTGCACTCTTTGAGACTATTTAGAAAATTGAGGCAAGAAGATTCACAGCACTATATAATGAAAAGCCATCCCTATGGAGCACAATATCTTGACATGTCTCTTTTAGTATCCCAGTGGAAACCCTTTAGTCCAGATTGCACCAGTGACAATACTTGTTTTCACTTCATTAAACATTTGACATGAAATTAACCCTTTTTTTACTGACTGCCAGTACAGTTCCCTTAACATTTATTTTGCCAATCACTTTCATAATCATTGACACATAATGAGCCTTGTTGCATTGTTGGAAACACTGGAATTTCATCTATTTCAGAGTTAGCCACAAATGGTTTTTTCTTCAGTAATTCTTAGAAATTTATTAGAAATTAAACAAGGCTTCTTCACTTTTTCTTTTAATTTGAATTTTTCATGTATCTTCAAACCAATCTGCACAATTTCTACCCCAATAGATGGACTTCCATTGAGAAGAAATCTCAATCCTAGTGCTGTCTGAAATGGCGTTACAAAAAACCCGAGTCCCAAATAACCACCGATGCTGCATTATCTTACAAGAGGCAACGTGCATGATACAGAAAATAAGTCTTAGTTCCTAATATGTGGCCAATTCTTGTCAACTAAAGGAAAAACTATGGCAGGCCTTACCAGTGTGGCTTCGTTTGTGAACCATGAGCACATTGGGACCGATGCAAATTATCCCACAGATATCACATTTTAGCTTTCCGTTAGGAAGTCGAATGCCTCCAACTCCTGACATAGCCTTGCTGCCTGGGCCATTGTGTGAGCCATTCATTTTCTCTCCCGAGGTATCAAGCATTCGTAAATCCTCTGCACATTCTTCCCCATTCATTTCACAGGCACGCCCATTCTCTTCATCACTCTGAGTCTCTATTTTAATATTACCAGCTGAAAAAAATAATACAGGGTGCCACTCAGTTTCATTACAGAATAAATATGGTGGCAAAGAAACAATCAAATCAAAGAAGATAATTTCTAAACAGCATGTACAATATACCTAAATAACAAAAAACTACAAACTTGACTACATTTCTACGGGCAATGTGATGAGTTTGTAACACATGGAACAATGAACAGTGAATATCAGAAAGACAAATACAAGGCACCCAGGGAGCTGGGAACCCAAACAACACTACAAGTCTGTTCCTAGGTCACTTTGAGATTTTTGCATTTGTAACATTCATTTTGACAATTCAGGCTAATTGGAATGAAACTTAAAATTAATCCACTTCACATGGATTTGTCCAACACAGTTGTGAAAGTAAGTAACTCATCAAAGACAATGGATGAAAATGAACTGAAAACGCAACATTCTCCACTTGGCAGGAAGTTCCCGAAGTTTGTACTGAATCCAAATATTTGGGTTGCAGTTCTATGGGGTAAACAAGGACCATGAGGAAGCAAAGATAACAAACACTGATAAAGAAATAAGTGTGGGGAAGGATGGAAAGAAGAATTTAAGAGCAAGAACTAGCATTACAGGAAATTATAGGAGTGATAATTCTGTTTTAAGGACAGCAGGATTAGGATTGCTGAGTGAGAGAAGAGGATCTCTACAGCCATGAGCTGCTATTCAAAAACAGTCAAATCAACAAAGGTGGGTGGGAGAACTGTTTTGACTTTATTGGATAAATCCTTTGTGTTATAATACCATAAGTGACAATCACTTGGAGCTAGAAGAATAATTCAGGTATAAATTTGGCATAGCCTCACTACATGTGATAACATGTAAGTTGGTAAGTTTGGTCTGATATGAACACAGCAAACCTAAACATTGTGGAAAGGGGCCAAGATTCAGATCAGTTAATGCCAGCATTCATTCCGCTTCTCTCCACAGGACTGCATGACATTTTGTGTAGAATAAATAATCTTTGTAGTTATTTCTCTCTTTTCTAATCTGATGATTTTGATGAAAAAAATAGTTCTTCATTAGCTGAAAAAGACAATTTAATTACCCCAAGTCTTACTTCCTTTTCAGTGCAAAACCTCTTCCTTCACTCCACCCCACCCCAAAAGGAAGTGCATTTACGTTAGTGGCTGGCTGAGTACACGAGGGGTAGGGGTCTGTTTCACCCAATACAGATCAGGTCTTTTCCTTTTGTGGAACAGTAGTGTCAGGGTAGCCTAATCCACAAGTGGTGGTGTAGCAATGACCTAATTAAGAAGCTATGGGCAATAATTACCTCAAGAGATGAAAGACCTTGACATTAGTTTGAAACTGAAAGGTTTGAAAAACTCATCTCTGCTACACCCTGCAACCTCCCAGGTGTCCCAGGAGGATTGCATGGATGTGACTGACAAAAGTATCTGACTCAAAATCCTACTGGGAAACACACTGGTGTTCACATTTCTGAACATTGCTTGACTGGACACATTTTATAAAGTCTACCAATCTAGGCATTTAATGATTTTTCAAATATTGCGTTTTTAATAGAAATCATATGCAAGACAGAATGAGTGTGCATCATAAAGAGCAGTTTTTCCTTTAAAATGTATGCCCCAAAAAGGGGAACAATTTAGAGATATGGGAAAAAAAATCCACGACCAAACAGTGATTTACAAAGATGCTATGACTGGCTAAACAGAAACTATCTACACTGTTTTGCAAGTATAGTGGACTACAACCCTGTACTGCTGTTTTCACCATGGTGATCAGAAGCAATAGAACTATTTGGCTTGAGCATATGACAGATTTTCCATAATTCACATACCAATTTTATTCTCTTAATTAGAAGAATAACAATTTGAATGTAAACATGATCCTATATTTACACAAAACAATTACAGGCTCCTTGCCTGCCAGGGGTTTGGAGAAGGTGGTTTTTGAAGTAAGCTTTATGTTAAGTTAAAACAAAATACATGAGAACAAACAAACAAAAAAGATTAAAATACTTAAGCCCTTTAGTAGCGTATGCGGACAAATGTACATTACTAAGAAGCAAAATAACACAAAAATCATAAAAGTAGGAACTAGATGGAAATGTTCCGTAGTGAGCATAATTTGCAGTATACTTACGGGAAAAAGATTTGGGAATTATTGCATGAAAGTCCCTAAAGCCTTCTGCCCCATATGCAGCTGCAACAAAGAAGGCAAACAGGATGCTGGTTTGTGGTACTGCTAGTAGTAAATGTAAAAGAAGATGGCATTATTGCTATAAGAGAAATACCTAGGAGAAAGACAGAACCATCATCACAGAAGCAACACAAGCAGTTTAGGATGAAGCAGGAACAGCAGCAGGACAGTTGGCAGGGAAATCCTGACCTGCCGAGAACAACTCCCATTTGTAAAAATGCCCTTTTCTTCCAAAGCATCCAACAAGTTTTATCATGTTTTCTAAATGCATAATCTTTCTTGGGTAATCCCCTCACTCACAGGTTAACTATCAAGAGGAACTTTTGCTAAAGTGTCTCAAAAGGGTCAATGGGAGCAGAGCACCTAACGCAGCCTTCTCCCACCCCCAGGGAAACCACAGGCCCCTACAGTGTAAGCTTCCTCTCAGGATTTATTTTTTGCCAACATGCCCTCTTTGTGTGCCAGAGATCTTTTCTTTATATGTCCTTGTTTCTAGTCACTGCAGCTATAAAAAGTGAAATTGCATTGTTTTCTTCTCATGCTTGCTGATCTTATGCAATGGAAGAAGAGGGAGTTCAATTTTATATATATATTATTGTGTATATTGGCATATTTTTCTGTTTGTATTTCTAAGGCTTGTCCTCACAATGTATCTACACAAAAGTAGCTGCACAAACACACTATACCCTGCGTATTATGAGTAGCCACGTGCAAATTAGCATGCATGCCATGGGGCACACTGATGCAAGCAAGGATGGAGTTCATTACTTGACATAAGCAATAATAAGGATATTGATCCAGTCAATCTTCACTAACACTCTCTGCAGCTATGCCCCTGGACTGCTGTAGCTGTGCTGCTCAATGGATGTCCCCTCACAGATGAGGCTGAGCATCCAGGATGCCCTTACAGGTGCATCCATTCAGCAGTGCAGCTCATGGCAGGGGCTTGGTTCAGGTGTGGAGCTCACTTTGTCAGGGAGAACTGATGGATGGTGAGGCCACCCGCCTCGCCCTGGGTCCTCATGGAGATTTTACAGGTCTAATTAACAAACAAAATCTCTTCATGTTCAAACTTAGCACTTTTTGCAAACCTGTTTTCCAAATGAAAACTAGTGAAAAAAGCCCCACTGATATGGGAGACACAACAGGAGAGAGCAAACGCTCCAGTAGAAATACTGAAATACTGAGGATTTTTATTAAATCTAAATGGGAAGGCAGGCTATACAAAATTTTTTTTTTTTTTGAGACTTGGATTGAAAATAAAAACCAACAGTGTTTTCTATTTCTTTTGTGAGAGAGGTTCCTGTCCCTCCCTTGCTATAGTGAGGAAAATCACTCTTGGAGCACTGATGATGTGACAAATACTTGTGAATCAGATTTTTCAGATGCACTGATCAAGAACATATTCAGCGTTTGTAGAGGTTTCTCCAACAGTTACTTGATATAGTCTTTGTAGAAATAATTTTTGTGCACATCCATGCCTACGTACACATACATGCAGACATTCATTAGTTCTACAATAATTCATGGTAATAATTTTCCAGTGGCTCTTCTAACACCACTAAGACATTATTCATTAATTAATTTACTTCCATTTTGTTGGAGACGACTTTAAAAGCTCTGTACTTTATTCTCTTTGTACACATTACTGCAGTTCAGGGGAGTTTAATCCAAACCCTTTTTTCTTTTGTGCAAGAAGTGTGGAGTGCACCAGTGTCACTGAACTGACAGCTCTCCTCCACTCCCTTTTTACCTACCCAGAGTGTGGAAAAGTTCCCCAGATCAGGGCACTGGGTGTATCTCTTGTGCTCTCTGATGTTTACTGGGAGCTTTGCTCAGGATTTTCTGAAGAGCATTTGAAATTTTTGTTACAAAGACTGTTCTGTATTCTATGGTTAAAGGTGGTTTATGCAAGTCTTTGTAAAAAAAAAAAAAAAGAATTGACATGTCAAAGGGGAAATGGGTGATCATAAGTTTTATCACTGAAGAGCAGTGCAGCTGGCTCAGCGCAAGACTCAGACTGGGACAGTTGGGAAGGCAAGATGGAGGGCAAGGTGACAGAGTCATACTTCCCTGGAAAGAGTTGAGCCATGCAGAGAGGGAAGGGAGGCATTTTGCACTGAGTGAAAGAGTCAGCAGTGGGGAGAAAGGAGAAATCAAATGTACTTCCTGGGAAACAGGATGTGGAAAGTGGCTTTTAAAGGACAGAGAAATAGGTAGCTGGAAAAAAAAAGACATGTAAAGAACTAGTAATTTGTTTTCAATCCATTGCCAATTTACCTTCTATTATACCTATGGGACTCCCTCCCATATGTAAAATCCTTTCAGTTTTGTGAGACTTTGGCACTGGCACAGGTTTAAGTACCTGGGCCAAAATCCTATTTGGAAAGGGGGCATTCACGTCCCAAGTCATATTCTTTTCCAGTGGAATTTTCAAAATAGAAAGAAGCATAAGACTTGGCTATCAAAGAAATTTAGAGAGTAACAGAGAAAAATAAATAACACTGAAGCTTCTGGGGCATTTTAGCAATAGAGTTCCTAACTCCCTTTGATTTTTAGTGGGATATGAACATCTTTAGTATTTTTATCCCAGTAGGTACTTAACAGCAACTTGTGGAATATACCTGCCTTTTAAGAAGTTATCCTTTAGACTGTCTTTGAAAATAACCACAATAATCTGATTTTTGGTCCATGCAATGTCTTACTTGTACTTTGAAGCCAAGAGCAAAGAAAAGAGCTCTCTTCAGGTTGCTTGAAATAATTTGAGTGCATGTAATTTTTTTGTTTGAATGGCTCGTTTGATATTCCAAGACAA